CTGTTGTTTGGTAATCGCCCCTTATATTTAAGAATATGATCTATTTGAAATAACTGATCCGGTTTAGTGGTCACCCTATTCAATTCTTCGTTATAAAAGGTTCCTTTTATGTCATCGTCGTTATAATCCATCAATTTATAAACGGGAACACCACCTCTCATATATTTACTTTTAATTTTGAATATTTCACCCGTCCAGCGTGCGTGATATTCTTTCTGAAATGGATGACGTAATGTAGATATACGTACTAAATCGCCAGCTTTAAATTTAAAAGTAACTTTTGCTTTTCGTTTCCTCGCAACATTTTCTTTCTTGATATTTACGTTTTTAATACGTTCCCGTTGGTCACGTTGCTCTTGTCTCGTCAATTGGTCGTGCATAACTTCGTATTGGGTAGCCTCATTCACGCTAGATGGCGCTCTTCCAATAGTTCTATGAAATGTATCGTTGTAGCCATTCACTATGTCCATTAGAACATCGACGTATCGGTTGGTTTGATTAGCAATCATATACCTATGCAACCGTGTCGCTAACGTCTTAATAACTCTCTCGACGTAGTTTGACTTTTTTTCATTGAGACTGAAAATTTGGGTGATACCTAAACGTTTCAAATATGGTTTCAAGATATTGTTGTCGAATTCTCGACCCATATCTAAGCGCAAGATGGTGGGTTGTTTAGCTGCCCCTAAATCATCCAAAATGTGTTTGAGAGCTTTAAATGTCTCCTTGGCAGTTTTCGTTTTTAAAAGTTTTGCGTGGACAAATTTGCTGAAAATATCGATTGTAATTAATATGTAACTGAAGCCATTGTTATATGATTTCAATTTGCTAAAATCGATCAGATCGGCCTCCATCATATAATGAATTCCTAATGTCTCGACAGGACTTCTTTTAAATTTTCTCCTGACGGGTTTATACATGGTATACGCTTCAACACCGTTCAAGAAATCTTTCACCATTTTTAATGTTATGTCATTTCTAAACTCTTTAATACTTTTGTGGAATTTAGATGGTGATGTAAAACTTCCATTAAATGTAGGGTCGTAATATAGGTTACTAAGATAATCACGGACGTTCTCCGCCATGACAAAACTAGAAATGAGTCAAGACTTATGATTTGACTTTTTATAAGTAAATGCTAGTGGTTCTTTAAATTTTTTTCAAAATGTGGTTGTTTTGTAACTTTGCATTTTTTGGACACCTATCTACATGTTTATTACCTCGTATAATATGTACCATATAAGCCATACAAAATATAAAGTTAATTTACATGATCCTTTATTAAGCATAGGTTCCTTTAAGAATACGTATACAGTGTTATAGAATAGTCACTGGCCCTTTTTTTAATGGTCACTGAACCCACATCGTCAAATCTTAATGAGGAAATGTCTGATTCTGGTGTAGAAGGTTCACCATGTAAACCATCCTCCATGGTTCCAAAGACATCACATTGACTGAACGTTTCAGAATTTTCACGTCTAACACCACAGCTACTACCCCATCAAACATTAACTGCAAGCCATCACCGTAGATACGAGACACTTTTAGTTTGAGTTTGAATACAATGACTGAAAATATACAGAAAAACAAAAATCGTTAATAAATGTAGTTAACTAGAATTAAAATTAGTTGACCTAACATTGGCACATCTGAAAACAGCGATCATTTTATGAAAATCATCATATACCAAGCTTTTAATGGATAGTACGAGTTATGTTTAACATATGATTAACTTATGTTAGAATAGATGTCGCATTCGTACAGCTAATCTACGAGAGTCTTAGGTTATTATACTTACACAGTGTGGAGTGTGTCACGACAAAAGAAAGAACAGCTAGAATAGCAGATGTAATGTCCCCCCCCCCCCGTGCCACACAAGTTTGTTGTCACTGGCATTTGGTATCAAACGTACAATTTCCACGTCCCCAATCTGTTGCTAAATAATGAAATGATAAACAATCGAACTAAATTCCATCAACGTTATACTCATTATATTATAAGTGATATACCTCTTCAAAAAACTCCGTACAACAGTAGCTTTTAAATATAATGTAGGTAGTATGTCATAATCTAATTGATATTGAAATAAATTGGTATACTAGTAACTACTTTTTATTTGATACTGTTTTAAATTTTTTACTAACTCAGAGTGTTAAGTAATTTAAAGATGTGATAATAATCAATTACAATTGTCTTGACGATGATTTAAATATTAAAATTAACTTACCACTTGATGTGTCACAATCACCAATCAATATATTATTATATACGGAACAACCGGTCTTGACAGAAACTATCATGCAGAGAACATTAAATAGCGTAGTACACAAAGACATGTTACCTAACTGTTGAGTGGACTTGATATATGATTTTTATTAACCAAAAATTGAAACCAACACACCTGGTCATTAGCGTATCTAAAAATAGATTTGGTCTGAGAACTGCGATCAAAGTCGCTATTTTGACACATTGTTATTTCTAAAAATAGACTCGAGGAGTGGACATCGTGAATTATCTACACACGGGGTGTACCATTTCGCACCATTTTGATGTACGTGTCGCGAGTGGCAAATGTTTATTACCGATGTTAAAATTGAGCATCATGAATTATCTTCACGGGGGTTGTACCATAACCCACACGTTGGTATGTGCCACTGGTGTTAAATGTTCACTACTGAAGGTAAAATTGAGCATCATGAATTATCTTCACGGGGGTTGTACCATAACCCACACGTTGGTATGTGCCACTGGTGTTAAATGTTCACTACTGAAGGTAAAATTGAGCATCATGAATTATCTTCACGGGGGTTGTACCATAACCCACACGTTGGTATGTGCCACTGGTGTTAAATGTTCACTACTGAAGGTAAAATTGAGCTACGTGTAAATGATTATATTTTCAAAAAAAATTGTTTTTTCAATAAATGTGGTGTCCTACACATGTTTACGGCACTGTTTGTGTCAAATAAACTTAAACAGTTAGGATATTATTCATTATATCAAAAAGTGTCATTTCAAACGAGTCCTCATCACCCATGACATCGATTATATCCTCTTCTATGGTACCATCGCATTTCAGGACCTCTACCATTTCATGGGTTGGCAGTGTACGTGATGGTAACCCTAATCGGCTTTGTAATTGGTCTTCTAAATAAAGCATCTGGCCCAGGGTGACATTACTTCTAGCAACCATTCCATATAAGTCAATAGCTTCATCTGGGAAGGTCAAGCAACCTCCACCCATATGTGCCATTTGACCAGGCGCGTCGTAATCACAGCCCAGACAATTTAAGGAGCACATCTCCATTACACCACCGTGCACTAAATACATGAATATAATCCTAACATAGGATTCTAGTGTTTTCTGTACAGGTATGTCTCTTTCCTGCACCGCTATATTTGCTGCACCATACGGCAAATTATCCAATCCAACACCCATTTCATTAATATTAGCATACCAATTTGTCGATTTTGGTGATAAATGCTCATCTTCGTAATTTATTCTGTAAATCTTGATGTTTGCCTAGAAAACGATTACAGTGATTTTACACTTCATTTACCATTTTTAGTATAATTCATTGTCACCTCCACAATCCATCATTTAAAACATTGTTACAAGTAATGGGTTAATACCTTAAAATGGCTCTTTTATTTGGTGTAATAATAAGATTGATCAACCACATACCTATTGATGTTTTGCATTTTTTAGAGTCAGTTCGTATAGTTTATCATGTTTATTCACCTTTACCAAAACAAATTTCTCCCATCTTCTATATCTCATTACTTTATAATGATCCATTGATAATGCCCTCTTTTTATTCATTGAAATTTCACGTTTTGATAATGTAGCTATTATGTTGGTCTGAAATTTAAAAAAGAGAATAATAGTTCTTATGGCTAATTTGAAAAACTTTTGAAAACATCAATTATAAATAAAAAATATGCACTTACCATTATCATGTTGTAGTTAAGGATACTATCTTACGATATCTTCACTGACACTGAGTTTTCATTTACCTATTATATAGAAATTACGATCGAATCGATCTCATTACCTGCAATATAATTAACGAGACGAACTTATTGTTTAAGTCACGCCCCACTTGCCACAACGTGTAAGAAATCACTCGAGCCTGTACCGGCTGGTACGATCTTACCTATTATCGATTACCTGTCAACGACTGACGCGTTTTTATTAATTTTACTTCATCGGTTGTCAATATTCCGTATCAAATTACCAGAGCCTGTACCGTCGGTACAGGCTTTCAAGGTTAAACGTCTTTTTAGCGGTCAACCATCGATTTTAATTAGCCTAGTTCAACAGTGATTAATAAGGTCAGTCACGTGGTCAAACACGACCAATCAGAGCGTAAGCGCGTGGTTTAAACTGCCCAATCAGCGTGGACCCCTGAAAAACTCCCAGAATGCATCAGGGGTCACCCCGGGTCACGGTATATGATTTACTACTTTAGATATTAAATTTTCATGAAAAGGTTGCCCCGGGTTTTGTGATGTCATGTTACTATACACTATAGCAACCATAACTCTAGTCTACCCGCATTTTATAATTTTTCTGGAACTTAACAATTTTAGTTGCACTACTTCAAAGTACAATATGTGAAAATGTGAACACACTCGGTACAGAATTGACAAAATGCCAACACCAGTCATGTTACTTTTGGAACACCCTGTATATTAATCCATCAAAAAGTAAGTCATCAAAAGTTGTTTGATTGAATTTAATTGAATGTTAGTGAATGCTGACCAATCAGATGAAGCTGCTTGACACTTACTATTGAAGTTGCTGTTTGAATTGACACTCATTATTAAAGTTGCTCCTCAAAACTTAAAGTTGCTGTTTGACAGTTACTATTAAAGTTGCTGTTTAACCCATACTATCGAAGTTGCTGTTTGAAAGTTACTATTTAAGTTGCTGTGTGACACTTACTATTAACGTTGCTGTTTGACACTTACTATTAAAGTTGCTGTGTGACACTTACCATTGAACCAGTGTTCATCTGTGTTATTTTCACGTAGCTTCTGTTCATGAATGAATGCATCAATAAAGTCTCTAATATTATCAGGATCATATGTTTTAAGATGTTTCTCGTATTCAGGTTGGAGAATTATCGCCTTGATTTCTTTAATGTTCTCTTCAAGTTTGTATCCACTTTACTGCAGGGAGCAACGAGCTCACGATAGCAATTGGCAAGTTTACGCTGAAGTTCTCATTAATCACATACATTAATCGTTTGAAAGAGTTATCATTATATTCAAATCGATGACCAAAAACCATCGAGCATATTATATTTGACGCCGCTGCATTTGTAAGAATTGTTGGGTCAAATTCTTTTCCATTGTTTTCTTCAAGTGACTTTAAAATGTGCTGGCATTCATTTTGAATTTGACGCTCAATTTGGTTTTTACCAAGTCCTAAGTTCTTTAATGTGTGAATTGCAAATCTGCGCTGTTCTTTCCACCGCGGACCATCACCAATCAGCAGTCCATTAAACATCAAGCCATTGACAGCCTTCAATATTCCCGTGAAATCACCGCCACGGAAACACTGTTTCACATCCTCATACTTATGTAAAATCAGCATAGGCTTTCCAACAAACTTAACGGTTACGATTGGGCTATTCATTGCTTTAGAAGCTTCCCAGAACTCATGCTCTCCTCTAGATTGGGCAGTAAAAGGTGTCACGTGGCCTATAAGCGGAATCCCCCAGGGAATCATTGGTGGAAAGTTGTATGGACTCGGTTGTAGGTACCACCATAGCAGTGTTAACATAACAAGGACCACGAGAACTGAGGTGATGTTATGTACAAAGGCCTCCACTATAATGCTTGTTAGACCCATACTTTGCAATTATAATTGTTGCACCCCGTTTCTGTAAACAATAACAAGTCTGTAAACACATACTGAGGAAAAAAAGCATTACCTGCAATAGTTTTTAATACTAAAACGATACTCACCAACTGTTATGTCAAAAAATAACAGAGCAGACCTTTTCAATAAATCCTTTCACATTTTGGTACACCAAGGAATTAAGCTATAAAATATTTGTTAGATTGAATACAGGGTGTCCAGAAAGTATGGGGGCCCCCCTAGGTGGACATTTACTAATGTCTTCATAGTATGTGTCATATATCATCTTAAAGCTCATCCAAAGTTACATTGATTCGCCAAGTATCATGGTTCAACTCACAAATGGTAAAAAGTTACAGGCATTTCAAAACTTAGTGTTTGGCCAAAAATATAGTTCAGTTCAGTATCCTGGAAACAGTAAACCTGAATGTGACCGAAACTATGGGTGCTACTGTCGACAAAAGGATGGATATTGAGTTCTAAAAAGAGGAAGTTGAGGGTAGATACTTCAAGGATTACAAAATGCCAAAACTGACTTTAATTTTGGCCAAACACTAAATTTTGTAATGCCTGTAACTTTTTCCAATTTGTGAGTTGAACCGTAATGGCAGATCAATGTAACTTTGGATGCTCTTTAACACATAGTATGGAGACATTGGTATACTAGTATGTCTGCCTAGGGGGGGGCATACTTTCGGGACACCCTGTAGGTGAGTGGTATGGCATTGTATGTCAACGTACACTATGTATGGCCTGCGCTTGGAAACGATGTGGTTATAAATCGCTCTAAAAACGAAAAAAAAAATTTAGAAAATTGTCTGAAACAAAAATGGCGGTCATAAAAAGAAAAATAGATCACTTTTCAATTCAGTTTTTTCATTTTTTATTTTTCTATGAATGATTTCGTATTTTTCAGAGTGTATCATTTAGGCTAGAGCAATATGTTGGGCACATTTTCTGAAAAATTCAAAATATTGTGATCCTGGTCATGTAAATGACATGTGGAACTAATTAAACTGACTAGAGGTTAAACCAGAACTCTGGTATCTTGGTTCAAAAAATGTTTGAAATCAAGCATGGTTTTGTCACTTCCTGTTTTGTAAATTCCTGTTAAAGATGCATTATCACAGGCTGGTATCGAAATATTTGTCCGCTGTGACGGAGCATGCTATTTCTCATAAAAACACTAAGAATACTTCACGATTTATTTTTTAACTCATATGTTTCGTTATACCAAAGAAAATTACTTACTCCATGCAATGGATTTATCATTTGCTGGTAACTTTCACTTCTGTTTGAAGTCCAATTACGCTGGGAAGAAAAGTTATTGAAAAAGGCGCTGGAGTATCATACTTCAAATTGTACAATTTCTTGTTTAACTTTCTAATGGCACGATATAGTGACACGATAATATTTACACATGGTTTCAGCATTACTATGAAGGTATAAACGAGATGTTGATGTATTTGGTCTTTTTAATTCTTTTATAAAAAATAATGTTTAATTTTTTTGTCCGCTGTGACGGAGCAGTTGCAAATGTAAACTGTAAAAATGCTCCGTCACAGCGGACAAAAAATATTAGTATTATTTTTTATAAAAATATTAAAAAGACCCAATGCATTAATATCTCATTAATACATTCAGAGTTATGCCGAAAACATATTTTAATATTCTTGTGCTACTATATCATGCCATTAAAAAGTTTAAAAAGAAATTGTACATTTTAGAGTTTGATACTCTGGCGCCGTTTTCAATAGCTTTTACTTCTAGCGTTATTGGACTTCAAACAGAAGTGAAGGTTACCCGCAAATGATATATCCATTGCATGGAGTAAGTACTTTTCTTTGATGTAACGAAACATATGAGTTAAAAAATAAAGTGTGAAGCATTCTTAGTGTTTTTATGAAAAATAGCATGCCCCGTCACAGCGGACAAATCTTTAGATACCAGCCTGTGATTATACCATAGGTTTCTCGCCCAGACTTACCTTTCGGGTAAGTGTACAGCAAATAACATGATAAAATAAAACTAAGACCATACATACAATTACAATAACATATAACAAACAATGCAAATTTTACATGGCATATAATGACAATATAATATCTCAAATACCATAAATATATCTTGAGGATAAATTATGAGTATATCATTGCCGAAATATTGAAATAATCAACAGAACAACCAACCTCCAGAAGTAAACACAATCGATTCCTCGGCTAGCGAGGCCGGGAATCCCCGATGAGTCACACAAGCGCCCAAAAGTACAAGTTAATAAGTACTATTCGTTTAATACGAATTATCCTTATAGACCAAGCTACATAGATTAATTCACGGGATACTAGAGTATCCGCGTATATTGAGTATGACCGGTTCTAAGCTTACGAGTGTGACCGTATTTCTGTTCCTATAAACAGACGAGGTGAGTACTTGCTTTTTATGAACACTTTCGAACGTTTTCTTTTTATCCTACTTGGTCAATGAATGATACTTGGTATACTTATAATGCCAGGCATATCACAAGGGGCATTAATCAAGAGAAAACGTATTAATATTAGATTGAAGCCGTAAAATCCTAGTTTCCAGCATCTTTGATCAGTTTTTGTGTAACACAACGCAACTCCGAAGAGGATGACACATCTTATGTATAATATATAGCTAGATCTACGAATTAGTCATGAATATTTTAAATAATTTAGCCTGCTCTGTCCAAATATGATACATCTTTGAATTTTTGAGAATACGAATGTCACTGGTGCCCCATTATTGGAGAATACGATTGTGAAACAATCAGTGGGCCGTGTTACACTCGTTTCCATGACATTTCACAAGCGTATCCTCTGGGAAAAGATAAATCCTTCTCTTGCTCACTCTACGGGGGATCATATAAACTGAGATTTGGAGATCTTGTTCAGGTTAGCCATAAAAAGGTTTGGGATTTGTTTTTTCTACTGTGATATTAATGATTTGGCTCTAAGGCGAGAAATCTGTACTTTCTGATTGATATTCCATTATGAACAGTTACATTGCTAAAATAGCTCATGTTTAACATTTTTTTGTTACATTACTATTAAATACAGCATAAACTATATTCAACAAACACAATTTCAAAAAGGATAATATAGAAGTTAACCTTTATTTTCCATTTTTAAGCAGCTGTGCCTCTCATGAAAACAAAACAGGTCATATTCGTAGCCTGAGAACCGGTCATACTCAATATACGCGGATACTCTAGTTACCCGTGTTAATTGTCAAGTTCAAGTGAATAGATCAAGACACATGCATATATTCCATTTCATTAGAGGTAGCCACACAATGTTCTCGTTAACAGAGCAAGTCACGTAGTTCAAGTTAATTACAGAACCAGATACACGGAGTTCACGTGAAAAGAGCAAGGTGCATCTTAAAGTTCAAGGATACACGTTCAAATGATATCTACGTGACAGGCACCGTACCGGTTATTTTCTTGTAATACGTAATTTTCAATGTATCAAGTAATGTCAACATTAAAGTACAGTTTGAACAATAACAACAATCAATATACTGTATCAGACCGCGTTATCTAAGTGCCGGGGGGGGGGGGTACTCCCATATATTGGCTATATGGGTATGTGTCGCTAAAGTTGGTCACTTTTTACAGAAAAGTTCCTAGATGTGGGTCCCATTTTGAAGAAAAAACCTAGGATTGGATCTACTTTTTAAAAATCCAAAAACTGGGTATTGTTTTTGAAAAATAATGGCCAGAAGTGGGTCTTGATTTATAAAAATTACCTTAAAATGGGTATATCTTTGAAAGAAAAATCCCTAGATGTTGGTAGATATTTTGAATCTCAGCGGCACGCCCTTGTTCAAAATGTTGACCAGTGTCCGTCCCCCGGGTCTAAGTGCAGGTGACACACTCATTCATGTTTTTAAAATTCCTACACAGATTTTCAATATGAGATTTTCTGATATACTCCAATTGTTTACATTTGAATAAAAACACACTACCCTACCTCGATCGCTTTTGAGTATATCGACTGCTATAGTCAAAAGGTTAATACGTTTGGTGCTCGGAGTGCGTCAATATCCAGTGGTGCGATAGTGAAGTCCATGTTCAAAGGTAAAAAAATATTTGATATGTCATAGTTCAGGGTACACAGTTGCAAAAGTTGATCAATACAGGGTACAAGGAATGTAAATTGTTCAATAGTACAGGGAGCGAGAAAGTAAGCCGATTATACAGATTGCACGAGGTTCGGTTGACTCGTTGTACCGTACATGAGAGCTCTTCAA